GCTGTGACGAAGTAATCTGCATTATTAATAGCACTATATGCAGTTGCAGCTAGAAACGTGTTCAGATGCATTTTGTCTATGCAAAACAGAAAAAGAAACTACATTTACATGCACGATTGGAACTCAGAAGCATTAGTTGCATATAGGGGAAGCGCTTCGGACGCAAAAGTAAAAGCAATTGCATTGAAACGCGTCTAAGTTAATATTATTTCCAGGTATGAACGCATTCCGATGCAAAAACGAAACTGTTCGCGTTGAAACGCTTTTAAAAACTAATGTAAATTAGTTGTGATGCGTTTTAGTCACGAAACGCATCTGAACGCATGCAAGACTTTGCAACGCGTTTAAATACCCATATGATGAACGCATTTCAATGCGCTTGGAGGCTGTTTCAATTCCAGGCGCGTTTAAACATGTCAAAAATGCATTTTATGATTACAGGGGTTCTTTTTCTTAAAGATGTTCATAACAAGCGAGCATGTTGCTTCTCTATAGTTGTAAAAAAAAAAAACTTTTTTCTCTTTCATTTTTATTTTATACGCATAGGAATCAAGTAATCTTGAGAGCTCGAGTTTATTTTGCTATATAGTGAATAATGAGTGTAAACGAGACAACAAATATGACAGATTTGGTGAATATTGATCCAACGGTCTATCCAGTTCATTTTGGTATTCTATTCTCGCTGCAGATTCCATCGGTAATATGTTCTCTGTTTATTTTCTTTAATCTCTGTTTTGTGTCCCAACATCGACTTCTCATGCATCGCATATACAATCATGTTTTACTGTGTATTCTAGTGAATGACTTTTTGATTTGCACCATAGAACTTTCACTCACGCTGACACTACTATATCGAGGTGTTACGCCATTTACTAATGATGCTTTTTGTCTTATTTGGCTCTTCTTTGCTGATGCTACATATATCATTTCTATTTTCCTGCTGGTATGGCTCCCTGTAGAACGATATTTGTTTGTGTTTCACGAAGCAGTTTTCAAACGTCATCTTCTGATCTTTCACTATCTGCCACTTCTGTTCTGTATCGTCTATCCAATTATGTTTTATGCAGGTGTGATATTCATCTACAAATGCCAAAATGAATTCAACTACGAGATATGGGCGTGTGCAGCAGGCTGTTACTTGAGCAACCCTTTTCTTGGCACATTCGATTGGATCGTAAATTCGATCATGCCGGCTGTGATTATTATTTTGATGAATGCACTTCTCTGTGGACGAGTTGTTTATCAAAAGTATCGAATAAGACAAATGCGTATGCTGAGAAAAAACAAGAAGTTACTACTTCAGCTTCTAATATGCTTATGTGTCTATTTATCTACCTGGTTTCCATATACTATTCTCGGCATCATGCTTGTCTTCATTCCAAACAATGAATTATTGTACAATGTCTACGAATATATTTTCGCCTATTCTATCTATATGATCCCGCTTCTTTCCCCTTTTATAGCTCTAATTACATTATCTGACCTGCTCAAAAGACCCTGGCGAGCAATCAATCCGCAAACTACTCTCAACATGATACAATTACGGCCAGTTGCGAGACTTGCTCATCGTTGATTAGACGTCTAAACGAGAATGAATCTTGCCAACATGCTTCAACAACTATTGATTCTAAAAGTAGTAAACAATAATATCTAAGCATCGAAAAATCTTGCCGATATGTTTCTTTCTCTTTTCCTTTTCTTTTCTCTACAAAATGTAACTGAAATACGTAATAAAATTTTTAATGATTCAATGCGCCTGTTGAAGAAATAAAGCTTCGCATTTTCAATTAACTGTAAGAATAAAAAGAGAAAGTAAGATGCGGAATTAGAAAATCAATGCAAAATTGTTTTCTGTTTTGTTCATGTATATGATTAGATAGAATATGACGAGCTGACAAAGCATAAAACACTTGAAACGTGAGGATGAGAGTGAGCGTGCGGGGGTGAGGACAACTAGCATAATCTATAGATTTCACTGCAGCTATGCAGATTATCAGATGCCAAATGAATCTGTATGATTATAAAAATCACAAGATCAAATTATAACTGTCATATGCCTTCAGAAGAAAGATACATAATGATAATATCAATTCGCAGAGGTGAAGACAGCTAGCATAATCTATAGATTTTGTTTAATTAATGCAGATGATTATATTGTCAATTGTGAAGGCCACTTTTCAATAATATCTAAAAGAGAGAGAAAAAAAAACTAATGTCGCATTTTTTTAAAAGTACCAACGACTATTTTTTGAATAACTTTTCAACGGTTCAAGTTATAGAGATCGGATTTTCACCGTTAGAAAGAGCAATGTGGGGGAACGTTGATCTGTATAAAATTCATTAGGCTTATAAGTCTTTTGTATGGTTGTTTGTAATCAAATATCTTATCGGTTGTCTATTTTCATGAGTTTTCATAACAAATTAACATCTA